TAAGTTAGAACGCTGGAGAAAGTAGTAAAAAGTGTAAAGAAGGCTAAGAGTGTAGGTCGCGCTAGATCACTCAGTTAGCTCGAGATATTCAAGATAAGATATCAGATATTCGAGATAGCCCTTCCCTTCAACTAGGGGACTCTTATATATGAGCGTTCTTGTCAAATCGGGGGTAACCGCCACTGGACCTCTCTCACAGCCATTATCTGCCAGGGCTGCGCAGTAACCGTTGTAGTGTACTACCCAATCGGATGAGTGACACGTCCCGGAAGGACAGACACGCCACCACCTGTCAAGAGACGTGGGCGTAGACTTGTCGGGCTGGTAGGGACTGCGCCGTCGGTCAGGAGACGTGGTGCAGTCTGACGGGTACGGTCTTGTCAGATAGAAGCTTCCTAAAACCATCGCATTGCTTAGTAGCGAGCTGCCCTGTAGCGAGCTATCCTGTCGCGAGCTACCTTGTAGCGAGCTCCTGAGGGTATTGCGAGGTGATTCCTCTTGAAGTGGCCCTTGAGGCGGTTTTTCTGCCTAAGTATTGAAGCGAGCTGGTTAGCCTAGCTCGCGAGCTGGGGTAGACTCGTCTTGGAGTTTTCCCTTTTAGTACACCGGGGGTCCTCGAGCTCACGCTGTAGCGAGCTCCCCCTGTAATGAGCCATGACGTAGCGAGATGTCCTGCGGACTTGTTACTTAGTCGCGGTCAGGCTATGATGCTGAGCTGTTACTTGTGCTGAGTCATGTCCATGTATCACTATCTCAAAGGGTCGGGTCAAATCACCCTCCATCAACAACTTCCTTGGATGGGCTGTTTATGGCGCTCCGGCATGTGGGAACTCGGTTGCAGTGTTTGTCATGGCTAGTGCATTTTCTAACGGGCCCAACAGTAGTCATGGTTGCGACTTCCATTGTTATTGGCTTACGCGGCCAACTCCTCCACATCGCAATTTTACAGGTCGAGCTCCCTCAAGGGATCGCCCCTATTGTCTTCGCCAAAGAGTATACCGGTCATCTGGCAATAAAGAGCTAAGTTCATATTTGATATGTTGTTAATTTACCATTCATAAATTGATGTTGTTCAACATTTAAACTTTAGGGTGATGTTTGGAATGTTAACAACACTATCAAGGTTTATTGTCGTGTTCAGAGATAGATGTTTTAACTAGGGGTGATCATGGGCCGGGTTGGGCCGGGCTTTGCCTTCGTAACAACGGGCTTAGGCTATGCCCGGACCATAGAGATTATAGTAACCTATAAGAAACTTTAAACTTATTATCACGTTAAAAGCTTCTAACATTAAAGAAATTAAATAATTATACCTTGTAATTTATAAGTTTCAATTGGTCATTGGTATGCAAAAATGATAATTTTAACAAACCAATTCTTCTATCAACAAAAAATCAACCTAGAACCTATAATATCTATCACAAAATAACCATCCATTGTCATGTAATATCCACAAAACAATTTTAAACATCTCTATAAGGGTCTCCATCTTCCATTCAACTCCTACAAAAAAGTGAAATAAAAAAGATATTACCAAACTAAAAAAAATAGTTCAAATTAATGTAAATAAATAGGTAATAAAATATTGAAAATGGTTTCAATTTTACCCAAAACTTGCAACCACAACTTCAGATTTATCTTCATCAATGGAGTCTTCATCACTAGAAACCTCGTCCTTTGGTGAGAGAAAGAGATTGGGCGTAGCGGTGGTTTTGTGAAATTGGTGAGAGAGAGCGAGAGCCGAGAAAATTAGGGTTTAGTAATTTCTATATTTCATTAAATACTATATTAGAATTTGGTAAGATCTAAAGCTGTAGGATTAAAATCTTTAATCTCCTACAAATCTCTATTAATCTCTATTTTACATATAAAACATCAATTATCAAATATTTTTAAATAACATATATACATAAAGATATATATTATTTATAAATACTAGATCGGGCCGGGCCTAAAAAATTAGGCCCAAACCTAACCCTAAATTTTGCGGGCTTGATGCGGGCCTAGGGCCTTAACAAAAAACCTAGGCCCAAGCCCGGATTTTCCAGGCCGACTGAAATGATCACCCCTAGTTTTAACACTACTTGAAGAAAAGAAAGAAGGCATAGAGGATTTGGGTGTGTGATACAAACAAACAAGCATCAATTTTCCCCGAGTTTGGGTGTATGATAAGGGTAATTTTGTAAATGTAGACAAGTAATTTCATAAATGGTGATGCTTTCCGTTTGGGTCATTGACGGAAATGAGATTTTTGTCTAATTATTTAAAAATCCAGGGAAGGTTTTTGCTAAAATAAAACTATAGGAGAGGTTTTTATGATTATTAGAAACTTCAGTAGAGGTTTTTGTATTTCACCCTAAAATTTAAGGTTTTACACTTGGGATTTTTGGATTGCAATCCCCCTCAGAAATCTAATTTGCAGCCCCCTCCTAGTAGACTAGTTGCCCCCCCTAACCCGCATGCTACCTGTGAATTTGGCATCAGTACACGGACAGGATTCAGTCCACCCCTAGTCTACTAGTAGCTCAACCTAGGGGTGGACTGAACGGTAAAAACCCCTTTACACTTTACATACTTGCATTTATACTCCTTCCAAAATAAGGGAAAGCTTTTACAATGGTCCAAAAACTTTAGGAAGGTTTTAGTAATTTACCCTAATTTTCAAAACATTTTAGTAACAATTGAAAAATTCCCGAAACTTTAAAATGTGACAATTTAGTACCTATCGTTAATGGACCATTCACGTGACCTCATCTGTGATTTAAGAAATTTGACAATGTCAAAATTACTCTTAAAAAATACACTATTCATCATCTTCTTTTTCAAGGAAAATGAAACGGAATCCAAAGGACTCGCCGCTAGCCACCACCATGGCCAACAGGAGGATAAAGAGTTTAAGACCGTCCGTCTAATGGACAGCACGCGCATGCTGCTATCGTGATCTTCATCGTCAATCGCTCTTGCTTTCCTCGTCTCCATTGCTCTGTTTCTCTGTTGCTCTTTGTCTGTTACTCACCTGTTTACTTCAACACTCTTACATTCAAGTGGCAACAAATGCAGGCGGAGTTGCACTTATAGGTCCCATCTTCATCTCTCTCTGTATTTCTCTTCTCTTTCTAGCTTTGTAGAGGTACAGGCAGATGAATTTCACGATGTCTCATTCTGAAACCAAACTTTATCCTTCCCTCCATTCAAAGGACCCAACAAATTCCTCGAGAGGTTCATAGATTTCAAGCTCGAACACGAAGACAAACGCGAAATGTCCAAAACGAAACTAGACAAACCGTTCTCTACCAGATCCAACTCGCTCAACATCTCACTACACCAAGAATCCGAAGCCGACGAGAGGTTCCCGGTAATATTCATACGCTTCAGCACCAATGACTCCAAACGCTCCAAGCTCAAGAGAGACGAAGCAATAGACTTAAAATCGGAGGCTAACAGGATAGAACTTAGATCAAGAGCTGAAATTTTGGAATCCTTACATGTAATTTCACTGAAACTGCAAGGATTCTGATTCCACTGCCAATTTTGGAGTAAATTTGGATTTAAAACCACAAGAATTCCATCCCCCGAATCCGGTGGCAGCAGATGCACAGTGGCAGTGAACAATGGATGTGGAAACCATGGTTCAGACCGAAACAGTGACGATGAACAGTATGATACAGAAATCATGGCTCGGATTGGAAGAATGGCTATGAACAATGCAGGAACAGTAACGGTGAACTTTTGTTTAATTTTGACTCTATGAATACTAATTTTCTTTCTCTGGTTTTATTTTTTGTGGCGAGAAACAACATCGGTATTATAATGATGGTAAACAGTAAAAAATTAGATGAAACATGAGGGCCGCATTAAATTTAATATTCGGGTAGGAAATTGGCACTCGGCTAAATTACAGGTACCTATCGGATATTTTCCCTATCTTATATCCTATTTACTTGCCTTTCACCCGATTCCTAATCCTGACCTACTAAGTAGTAACCTTATCCTCCCTTTTTTTACCATAACAGCCTCTCTGCAACCATTTACCGAAGACCGGAGAATGACACACATCGATTTTCCTGATAACATATCGCCATTTCCCGATGCCGGAGACCTACTGTATGGCAATCGGACCGCCATCTCATCTCCTCTCGAGATAGAATTTCGATCGCTGTTGCCTCTCCAGAAGCTTCGTCCAATTAGAGGTAACAGAGGAGATTCAGCGGAATATTCAGATTGTCCGGCGAATTTCCATGAAGTTGAGTTCCGGGAAAAGGCTGAATCCGCAAACTTACTGAATCGTCACCAGTCAATTGTTGCTCTTCCACCAGAAATCGAATTTGAGCCCTCGCTACCGATACAGACGCTCCCTCCACTGAGAACCGGTGGAGATAATACGGAGTGTTGTAGTTCTCCCGCGAGCGCTGGTGAAGTAATAGAATTTCCTGAAAAGGAAGGTGAATCTGGAAGCAGGTGGGATACGCTTGCGCTGCTGAAGGTAGTTGACACAGGAAACAGGTGGCCGCAAGCGGAAACGCTCGCGCTGCTGAAAATACGGTCGGAGATGGATGCGGAGTTCAGGAATGCAAAGCCTAAGGGACCTCTTTGGGAGATCGTATCCAGGTAACCTTTCCTTTTCCTTTTCTTCATTGGGAGATGGCGTTGGACCGTTGGTTGAATTTGGGATTCGTGTGTCAAAGGAGGTTTGCAAAGGCCTTTTCTGTCTTCTGTTACCCTAAGAATTCTTTTATACTTATAACTATAAGTACGGAAATAATAGTAGATAAAATAATTGTTAATTTCGCAGTAATTTTTCAGAGGATTGGTATACGTTCTCCTACTGGTTTTATATACTTGCAAGACCTAATTGATAAGCATATAGCCTGTTTGGACGCCGCTTGAAACGAAAGGATTCCTTTGTGCTCTTTCTTTAAATTTTACAGTTCAAATTCACCATCTAAATTAGTAGACCCCTTCCCGATTGTTCTTTAGGGATGTAAGGTTGTTAAAAAATGTTTAAAAGAGACCATTTTTTATTTTATTTTTTTGAAGTGAACTCATTTTTGCCTTTTCTTAGATCATCCTGAACTGAATCCATTTGAGATGATGGCACTGTCTGTTCAAATGATATCCAGAACTAAAGGGATGTTTCCATTTTACGTGGCATTTGATCAGGCCACTAATTTTGTTATTTCCTTTCCTTCTTTTTTTTTTTTTTTGATGAATCGTTATTTCCTTTCCTCCTAATCTAGAGGGATTCTTGTCTCCTTTTTCTTTTTTCTTTTTTTGTGAGACGGTAAATAAATTCAAGAGTTAAAGGGCTCTTCCCCATTATTAAAATATGGTGCTTGAGACATTCCACCATTCTCAAGACCCTGACTTTAGGTGGTTAAGACACTCCCGAAGCTATTTGTTCCACCTCCCTTCCCCATTTTCTTTCTCTCTTTTTTCCCGTTATCAGAAGCAACTTAATGTGAGACATCTTAATCATTTTATCCAAAAAGTCGAAACAATGCTTTTGGAAGTCATTCCAAACATTGCAGCAGCAAAAAATATACAGCTTTTTCTTTTGTAGTGAGGAAGTCATAGTATTATTAGCATATTCTCCTTTTTGAGTTTTTACTAGTATTTCAAATGACTGGATCAATAAAAATGGAAAGCAAGGATAGCTGATTATGCTGTTCTTTTTCATTAAACTGTTTCCGACTTAAACCTTTGCTTACAGAAATTGAGATTTTTTATTCTTGTTTGTTGGAGCCGTTCCTTGATTTCTTCATCTAATGAATGGTGCATTTATTCCCTTGGCCATAACACAAAAGTTAAACTGATGAGATGGTCCTCTCCATCCAATAAATTGGACATTGAACTCTATTATACCATAGGTTAAAATGTGACTGCCGTGTTGTTCTTTCTCAGGCAATGACCAATCTAAGAGGTCTATCATCAGTTGGATACCGGATGAATGAGCATTGAAAGGCTTTTTGTTTGTGAATTGTGACATCTCAATTTCCCATTGTTTCAGTTATATGTTCTGAGGCTTATTATGTCTTGATCTTTATTTTTCTTTCCTCTTCTTTGGCTCCCTGAAGTGTTCTTATGAACTTGATCAGGAAACTTGAGGGATTGGGGTACCACAGAAACCCAAAAAAATGCAAAGAGAAATTTGAGAACATTTACAAGTATTACAAGAGAACCAAGCAAAGACAAGCAGGTGGCCATGGTGATAAAACATACAAGTTTGTTGGTGAACTTGAAGCTTTATTTAATCAGAACAACAAGAATCCTAGTTCTGAAACTTTGTCATTGGATGTTACTAGAATCCAAAGCCCAGAACCTGTACAGAATCCAAGACAAAATATCAGCTCGGATACCAACCCAGTTGATTTCCTGTCTGACTTCATCTCTTCTTCTTCTTCTTCTGATGATGATGATGATGATTCAATGTCAGAGGACATTACAGAATCCATGAATGGGAAAAGGAAGAGAAAAACAAGGAAGAAGCTTGATCTTTTCTTGGATAATTTAATGAAGAAGGTAATCAAGAAGCAAGAAGAGATGCATAGACACTTGATTGAGACATTAGAGAAGAGGGAGAGGGATAGGATGATCAGAGAAGAAGAATGGAAGAAGCAAGAGATGGAGAGGATTAAGAAGGATAAGGAGATGAGGGCCCAAGAGACATCTCGTAGCTTAGCCCTCCTTTCTTTCATACAAAAGGTTTTGGGTCAGCAGTTCTACGTTCCACAGTCTCCAGAATTGTCATACCTTGGAGAAGAACAAGATGAGAAACATGATAAGACAGATTACAGTTTTGATCCCAGTAACAGGAGATGGCCAAAAGCTGAGGTACAAGCCCTTATCACGCTTAGAATCTCAATGGACCATAAGTTCCGAACTACTGTTCCAAAAGTCCCCTTGTGGGAAGAGATATCTCTTGCAATGTCTGCCATGGGCTATAGCCGGACTGCTAAGAAGTGTAAAGAAAAATGGGAGAACATTAACAAATACTTCAAGAGATCAATAGAAAATCGCAAGACACGTCCTGAAAATGCAAAGACATGCCCATATTTTCATGAGTTGGCTATCTTGTACAAAAATGGTCTCATAAATCCTGGAAATGCCCTTAGTAATACAACTAATGCAAACGAGGACAAGAGCATAACTGAAGAAATACCTGAATCTTAGATCCTTGTTTCTAATTCTTTTTTCAATGTCAGACCTTGAACAAGGTAGTGAAATTTCAGTCTAATAGCCTCCCTTGACGTATTTAATGGCATCAGTTTATCTATTATCTCATTCTCCCTGGTGCCTCAATATTCCTTTCATCAGTCTGTTTAATCACTCTATAAGAGAACATGTAATTTTGCTCTTTCTGTATACTTCTGATGGATTGAATAGGTGTTCTAAGGATATTGAACATAGTAACAAACAACTTTTTCCATATAATTTTGATAGACTAGTAGGATGATATCTACCTCCATTTGAACAATCTGTAGTGAAATAGCTTGTGTGGAGGTCTTGAACCTAAAGTTATAAAATCAAAGTGATGGCCTGTTTTTTCTTTTATTTCTTCTTGTTTATTAGCTCCCCCCCCCCAACAATACTACTTGAGGTAAGTTTATTTTTCTTCACTATTTCTCCAATCTGAGCAAATGCAATTGGCCTGTTTGAGAGGGCTTTCCTTCGTACGTAGTTGCTTTGGTTCTGTTTCAGAAAAGAGTTACTAGCAGAGGTTGGTTCGGACTTCGGAGGGGTCCGGATCTGGTCCCAACAGCCATCACAGCTGTGCATTGGAAACATCTCACTATGGAAGACAAGGGTAATGTTCCCAACACGGCTGCAATGGCTGTTGAGACCGGTTGTTAGGACCCTCGTGTGTTGGGACTAGATATAAACTCGGTTCTGAGAAACATTAAGGGAGTGGCTGGCGCTAACAATATATGTTTTTGAAACTGGACTCGAGAATATGTTTTAGGTTTCAGTTTTGAAAACAAAAACAATCAATAACATGCTCTTGTGTTTTTGTTTTAAGAAACAATCTGTTTTCAAATTAAATGGTTTTGATTTGTTTTTAAAACTGACCACAAGAAAAACGATTCATGTTGTACCCCTTAAATGGCTGTATGATGATTAAATTTTGGCTCTTGGTGTTTTTTTGTTTTTTTTGTGTGTGTGTGTCTTCTTCTTCCAAAATTAAAAGCCTAGTATAGAAGTCCTTCAACGGATAACCAAATAAGGATGGTTACAAAGCATGAGAACTGTGATTAAGAAGATGATTTGGAAAAGGATTAAAGTAGAAGAAGAGGAAAAGGATGAAGAAAAGAAAATATTGATAAAGCAATCACATATTCCGTGCGAGACTGTTGGACTGGAGCTCTTTTAGGCCACTAGGATGATCTCATCTACTCATTTATGATTTACAGGTGCCATATTGGTTTACCTTTGTTTCCAATACATGTAAATTACGTTATATGGCAACATCCATTTAAGGTTTAGGAGTCTTATGGCATTCCTAATTAGGTCAAATTAAGTCAAATTCACCTTTTTTGGGGATAAAGAAGGAAAAAGGTTCTAACATAAGCAAGGGGTAAAGCAACCCCAAAGATCAAAGGAAGAGCAAGGGTGACCTGGGGGAACCCTAATCTCCACTTATACTACCCCTCTCCATGTAAATTTCCCCTCTCCCTCCACCCCCACCCAATGATTAGTCCTCCTAAAGTCCCATCCATGTTTATTCTCTTGTCTCCATCCATTTAATTAGGTGTTGGCCCCAGTATAAAATGTTTTGGCTCCTCCCCTACCAAAGTTCATTGAACTTGGCTCTTTCAATGGGAAATTGGTAAAATTTTTTGTTTAATCATTGAACTTTTGATCTAGATTGTATAATCATTAACTGCTTGAAATGGAGAACCGATCACAAACTGAGTTAAATATTTTGTTATATTTATGATGAATATAGTTGATTTAATTTTGTGTAAAATATAGTTGATTTTGGTCAATGGACTTTTGAACTAGATTGTATAATCATTGAACTGTTTGAAATGGACAACTGTTCACAAACTGAGTTAAATATTTTGTTATATTTATGATGAATATCATGGTTTTCAAACAGTTGTTGACCCAAATGATCTAACCATTCGGCCTGAAAGTTGTCTAGGCTACTAGTTCCATTTCCCCCTTAACCCACCAAAAAACATTGACTTGGTCAATGACCAAGGCACTCAAGCCAGTGACCCATTTGGCCTAGGCAATAGTTTTTGGCTGTTTTTATTTTAATTATTATTATTTTTTTAAATTGGAATGGGTTATCCATTAAAACTGGATGGTCGAAACATTGACTCAAAAATCGATGACCAAAGCGGTTCCAATTCTGGGTCAGTTTTTAAAACATTGATGAATATCATGAGTGGATCCATTCAAACCCGATAATTTAACCGCCAACCTAGAACCCAGAGGCAAAAATGGTTTCATTTTCAGTTTGACTTTTAAAACATTGGGTTAAGGTTAACTTCATTAATTAGGTTATGTAGGTTAATTATGGTAACTTAATTTAAAGTTGATTAGTTACGTTAATTTAAGTTCATTTAACTTAATTAAATGAACTGATTAGGATAGCTATGTTACTCAATTTAATTAGGTAATACTTTAATTATCTAATAATCAAATAAATTATTTATTAATTAGCTAACTTTAGTTAATTTCCTAATTAAAATAAATTAGTGCCATAATTTAATTAGGTAACTTTACAAGATAGTATCAAGAAAGGAAAATTGTCTAAAACTCACCATGAGTTTTCAACATTTTCTTTAAACTCACCACGACTTTTCAAAATGTCTAAAACTCACCATGTCAATAAGTTTTTATTTTCCAAAGCTCACCTTCCATTAGAGCACCGTTAATGCTTCTTAACAGAGGTGTCTATATTAGTATAAATAATAAATTTCATGACCAAATTACCCTTGAATGGTGAGTTAGAGGCAAAATGGTCTTTTTCAGTTTTCAATTTTCTTGGTTTTTTTTTGCATTTTTAGTGTTTTGTTATAGTTTCCAATGTTTTTATAGTATCTGTTTTTTTTTACATTTCTATTTTCTACAATCTATAAATTTTCCTGTATTTTTTGTTATTTATTTGTAATTTCTGTGTTTTTCTATAATTTTTGGTGTTTTTTCTACATTTTTTATTTTCTGATTTTGTTTTTCAATTTCTATAGTTTCTATAATTTCAAAATAATTTTTTATTTTGTTTGCAATTTCTATAATTTTTATATTTTTTGTAATTTCTATGTTTTTATTTATTTATATTTGAAAATATTTTTTGAACTTTTTCTTTTTTTACGTCTAAATATTAAAAAGGTAATATATTAACACCCGTTAGTCTGTTTAATGTCAAATTAGTGACATGGTGAGTTTTAGACAATTTCCCATCAAGAAAAGATTAAACTTGAATTAAGTTATTAGGTTAATTAAACTTAATTAAGATAATTATGTTTAATTATTTTAATTAAATTAGCTCTATTTAGGGAATTTTAAGTTAATCTAAGATAAATTAACTTAAGTTCATGTTAATTTAGGGTAGTTATGAAACTTAATTAAGATAATTATGTTTAATTATGTAAATTAAATTAGCTATATTTAGGGAAGCTTAAGTTAATCTAAGATAAATTAACTTAAAGTTCATATTAATTTAGGGTAGTTCATCTTAGTTATGTAATTTTACATGTATATATAACCTTACATGATTAAAGGCAATAATTATGTTTAATGGGTCATGTGTATGCAACATTGTTTTAAAAATGGGTCATGTGGCCATTCCAATGAGAAGTGAGAATAAGAGGGATATGTTGAGAGAAGGAAGAAGAAAGTGGAAAGATAAATACATTAGGAGGTTGATGAAAAAATAAGAAAGGTGCACTAAGAATAGAATGAAAGTTGCAGAAGTTTCCTAGTGTGTTGGAGAGGTTATAGAGGTGTAGAGAGAGGGAGAGAGTGGTTTAGGTAAGGGAATAATGCATCTCCCTTAGAATTGCAGGGTTGGGGTAATGAAGCAAAGACAGGCCATCTGACATGTCCATGAGTCCATCCTCGTTTTAATATACTAGTTGGACCATGCATGTGTGATGCATAGGTGTTGTTAAAAGAAATTATGGTAGGGGCTTTATAACAATATCAATTGGGTCAAGTGGTACCAAATCCAACCCAAACTATTTTTCAGTTTTGTGTCATTCGATAAATTTTTGTTAATTTTTCTTATTTATCTTAATTTGAAAATTTTAACTATTAAAAAAATAGTTACTAAAAAATAATATTAAAACAAATAACTAAAATATCAGTAAAAATATTAATTAATTACTAAAATTTATTATTTTTAGTAACAAAAACCTAGAAATATTAAAATATAAAAATAATACTAATTACTAAAAATATTAAAACAAGTAACTAAAATTAAAGTAAACTACAATAATTAAATTATGGAAACCAAATAGTTAAAATATATTAAATTTATTAAATTGAAGACAATGAATAAAATTAAATTAAATCATTAAATTCCAGTAAATAAAAATACAATAAATTACTGAAATTAATACTTTATTAATAGTAAATTAAGATTACCATAAAATAATTTAAATATTTTTCTTCAATATTTTTATTTACTGAAATAATATTTAGTCTTCAATTATTTTTAAATATTTTTTCTTAGTTTTCCACTAATTTTCAATTATTTTTTAGTGGAACATAATCTTTAGCAAAAATCAATTTTTTTTGTTGAATTTTCAGTAAGTTTTCAATAATTTTAAGTATTTTTAACAAGTTTCGTATTTCCATAAACTTTTAATACTTTTTAAGTAAATTTTTAATTATTTTAATATGAATTAATTAAAAAAAAAACTAATGATCAAATATATTGGAGCAAATAAGTAAAAAGCATTAATAAACAATCGAAACTATTAGTTACTGAAAATAATAGTAATAACTAATTATTGAAAATATATTAAAATAAATAACTAGAAGATCACTGAAATATATAATTAAAAAATATTAATCACTGATCTTAAAATTATTGGAATTTATAATTTTTAGTAACTGAACTTAGAAATATTAAAATACAAAAATAACATCAATAACTAAATACTGAAAATATTAAAACAAATAACTAAAATTAAAAAGTTATAGTAATTAAATTATGGAAAATCAATAATTAAAATACAATAAATTAATTAAATTTAAATCAATAAATTTTAGTAAATAAATATACAATAAATTACTGAAATTAATAGTAAAATAAGATTACCCAAAAAAATTTAATTACTGTTGAATTCTAATTTTTAATAATTAATGATTTTCTGATAATTTACTGTTAACCTTTGCAAATTAAATTTTGTGATTTTTACTATATATGTTAACAAAAAAATCAATAGTTTACTCAAATTATGACAATTGTATTTTAAAAATAATTATCTATTATTTTTCAATAATTTAATTAATATTTTACAATGATAATCAATAATTTGAAATTATTTTACCAAAACATTTTACCGTGAATTTAGAGATAATTTACTGATAATC